CAATCCATTGTGGATTACGGAATGATTTTTATTAATTTTTTATTAATGTTAGAATTAACTTTTATAAAACCAGTGATAGTGTGGATTACTGTAATTTATTAATTGGGCAATTTGTCATTCGTAAATATAATATTCAATGCCCTTAAAAAATAGTGTTAACATTTTTAATTTATTGCGCCAAACTGTTTTCCGCATTTTTTATTTGCAAAAAAAAACTGTTGTTGTGTATGTGCAAAAATCTAAAATGACAGTAATGATATTCTTTAAATAAAAAAATTATTATATATATATATTTTTATACCGAGGGTCATTGTGCAAAGAAACAGCAAGCGTTGGGTTTAATTTAGTTAAATTGTTAATAACTATGATGAAAATGTTTTTCCAGGCGGGGTTTGTTTTCGTTTAATACCCAAAAGTGTTTATTGAAATCTAGATTTGGCATATTAGTGAGATCTAGAAGATTAAAAAATGTAAGTAATGGTGTTAATTAATTATTTATTTGTCTATAAAGAACGTCTTTCTTTTCAAGAAAGATGGTCTCCTGGAAGAATGCCCACAAGAGAGTGGCAACCTAGGCGGGTGGTGGTCGGTCGGCTAGTGGTGACATGGTATATTATCACCTAGAGGCAATGGAAGGAAGCTGATTGCCGTATTCAGGGGGTATCCTTGGGATACATACTTATTATTATACCATTGATCTCAGCAGAATCACTACCATACACCCATAATAAAGCGCGATGTCTGTCAGGTGTGCCTTTCAGTGAAGTTATTGTTGTCTCCAAACACTATGGTGGAGAATATTTACAAGAAACAATTGTTAAGCCGCCTTTTATACAAATTTATAGCTTTGTAGAGAATGTATTCACGGACCTAGAGGATATAACCTGGCTAGGTATGTAGATGTTGTTTGGGCAAAATATTGGTACTAACCATTGTGGGCTTTATGTCGACTTTAGATCCCTTATAGTTGTCACACTATACCAAATAAGCATTCTTGCTGGAATTAAAGTTTAAAACAAGTTTAATTCCAGTCAAACATTCAAATTTCAAGTGTTGAAATACACTTTCATTACACTTTAATTCAATAGCATTCTCCAGTGAAAACGAAACTTGAATTCAAGTCGAACATTACAATGTTTTTACAGTATAATTCAATGCACGAAATCTATATACATACATACGTATATAAAATTCTAACGTTACTGACTGACTGACTGATTCATCATCGTAGAGCCTTGAAGCTCAAGAGCTGAAATTTGGGCAGGAGGTTGGTCTCCCACCAAATGTATCCAATAAGACGGGATTTTTGGAAATTCGAATTTTTTGAGGGTTAAAAAAGGGTAAAAACGTAAATTCGGTAACCTCAAATCTCCTAAACTAGAAAAGTTAGAAAAACAGTTGAAGCTTATCGTCGTTCATTTAAAAAAAAGCGGACAGGTGTCCGGTAATTTTTTCAAATTCTGCCCCTTTGGGGAATAAACGGGTAAAAACTGTATTTTAGTACTTTTCCTGCACCCCATGTATCTTTTAAACCAGTGAACATTCAAACAATATTTTTGAATCCTTCATAACTTGACGAACAAATAAAAATATGAATTTAGTACTTTTTGGATATTCGGACGTTTAAGGGGTGAAAATTTTACCTATTTTTGGTACTTTTTTATGAAACATTGTTTTTGGTTTATTAACTTATACATATGAATACATAATAACGGGCTCCCAATACGATGTTGCAACTTTTTGGAACAGAATTTGTATTTCGTTAATGGGGAGGAAAAAAGTACCAAAAGTGGTAAAAATGGGAAATTTGATTTTATTCAAGAAACACTAAATGTGCTAATGTGGTGTTATTTGAAACACCGGTACCAAGTGATATTTTTTGGTACTTTTTCATTCTCCAATTGGTACTTTTTGAGTTTTCTATGATATTGAAATCGAAACATTAAATTAATAATTAAGGGACTTTTCGGAACTTTTTTGTTCTACAAAGGTACTTTTTGAGTTTTCTATAAAATTTAACCTAGAAACATGAAATTAAGTAAGTAGAGTCCGGAGTAAATGAGAATCTATAAAATGGGACTTATTGGTACTTTATCGTACTTCGACTGGTACTTTTTTTACTTAAAACTTAGAAACATGTAATTAAGCACTTGAGAATCTATAAAAGTGGACTTTTTGGTAATTTTTCGTTCTTCAAAAGGAACTTTTTGAATTTTCTATAATATTAAACCTAGAAACATGAAAGCGTGTAGAGCCCCCATTAAGTGAGAACCTGTAAAAGGGGACTTTTGGTTCTTCAAAAGGTACATTTTAAGTTTTTGTATAATAATGAACCTAGAAACGTGAAATTAAGCATGTAGAGACCGGATTAAGTGAGGTCCTATAAAAGGGGAATTTTTTGTACTTTTTCGTCCTTCAAAAGGTACTTTTTGAGTTTTCTATTAAATTGAACATAGAAACATGAAATTATCCACGTAGAGCCCGGAGTAAATGAGAATCTATAAAATGGCACTTTTTGGTACTTTTTCGTTCTTTGACTGGTACTTTTTGAGCTTGCTACAAAATTTGAACCTCGAAACATGAAATTAAGCACTTAGAGCCTGGAGTAAATGAGAATCTATAAAAGGGGAACTTTATCGTACTTCGACTGATACTTTTTGAGTTTTCCATAAAATTAAACCTAGAAACATAAAAATAAATATGTAGAGCCCGGAGTAAATTATAATCTATAAAAAGGGACTTTTTAGTACTTTTTCGTTCATCGATTTTTTATAATATTGAACATAGAAACATGAAATTAAGAATGTACAGCCCGGATTAAGTGATAACATATAAAAGGGGACTTTTTGGTACTTTTTCGTTCTTCGACTGGTACTTTTTGAATTTTTTATAATATTGAACTTAGAAACATGAAATTAGGAATGTACAGCCCGGATTAAGTGATAACATATAAAAGGGGACTTTTTGGTACTTTTTCGTTCTTCAAAAGGTATTTTTTGAAGTTTCTATAATATTGAACTTATAGACATAAAATTAAACCTGTAGGGCATGCAGTAAGTGAGAACATATAAAACGGGACTTTTTGGAACTGTTTCGTTCTTCAACTGGTTCTATTTGAATTTTCTATTATAATGAACCTAAAAACATAAAACTAAGTAATCAGAGGCTTGAGTGAATGAAAATTTAAAATGGAGTATTTCTGGTAATTTTTCGTTCTTTTTCTTTAACTGGTACTTTTTGAATTTTCTAAAATATTGAATATATAAACATAAAATTAAACACGCAGTATCCTAATTGAACGAAAATTTATCTCGCTTACATCCATTTTGCAAAAAGGGCTCGATATCAATCGAAATCTCTATAGGCCATAATTGACCCTGCCCCCTTCAATAATTGATTTTAATGTTTTCTATGTACTTAATAATACCATAATAAAACAATTTTTGTTGGAACGAAAATATGTATTTGAAATCTTCTTCAGAAAATGACTTAAACGCACATAAATGGCTTTCAAATGTCGATGTCTACGAAAAAAAAAACATTTTTAGGAACCGAAACCTACATTTATGAATAATAAAATTATGAGGATCGGTCCGCCAATATAACCCTCTTACAGAAAATCAGTTTATAGCTAATACATCATTCCAAAAGTTATCATTATGATAGAATTATGGTAGAATTAAAAACAATACTTTAAATTATAGATAACTTTGTCCATAATTGATCCAATTCCACATTTAAGCCCCTAATCCGAAAATCACGGTGACGTTCAAAGTCCATATATATATATGTATATGACCACTTCCGAAATTTGCTTTTTTACGACATATGATTTAACGAATATAACTCTTACTTCTTACTTATTTTAATCATAAATTACCGCTAAAATAGGAATAGTCTGCCTTTAGAGTTGCGAGTTTTCATACACTCTAATAATGTTTTCAAAGTGAAACTTTTGGAATATTTTTCAATCTCTTTGTGATCCCTTTAAATGATGTTGTTCTGGAAGAACTTTAACATCCATGTAAACATTTTGGGTAATAAATTGGGGGACTACCAATGAGGGGAGCGGAACCTCCCGTATGAATTAAATATAAAAATTCGTTTATCTGGGAAACTAATAGAACTAAATTCCTAAAATTTAGCACGAAGAACTTTAATATTCATCTGACTTTCATCTGGGGGGCTTGGAGCTCCCATATGAATTAAATAGAAAAATTCGTATATCTGAGAAACTATTAGAGCTAGAATCTTCAAATTTTACTGAAGAACATTTAGAGAATAACGGGCGGACTTTCAATGGGGGGCTTGGCACTTCTCATATGAATAATAATACAAAATTTTGTATATCTGGGAAGCTATTAGATTATTCAAATTTTTCATAGATTAAATTAAAATCTTAATTAACGTTCGGAATAATTGGCGAAATTGCAATAATTTGCGTGGAATCTCCCATATGTAAGAAATTGTATATCTGGAAAACCATTATAGTTAGAATCATCAAAATCGTTAAGTGGGTTTCTTATTTATATTGCTTTTAGGGTAGCACAGCACACTGGGTATAGCTAGTAAATAAACAAATAAAAAATCTTTGTTTTTACGTTATTGATCATTTTCTTAATGCAAAATTTTTTAGAAACTGATTTTCTTCAAGATAGGGTTAAATATCGGTAGATCCTAGTAAAACTTGGAGAAAGGATTTGTTTTTAATTTTTAAGAATTTTTTGTTCATCCCTGCATAATTTCACACACAACTTATGAGCTTGCTCTGTTTTGTTGTTATAAACAATATATTTGCTTCCAAAATCCCACTTTCTGATCTCTCGGATTCCGTTTTTATTTAAAATCGTAGAAAAATTAAAAACTAAACGTAGTTGAAAACTTAGCGGCTTACAGTCGATTTTAAGCCGCCGCCGACATATTTAGTGTCAGTCGCCGCCGCCGTTAATATTTGTCGGCGCAGGGCTCTGCCATGTATATGAAAACCCAGCTGATTTTGACGCATACTTTTGTTACATTTGTAGACTTGATTACACCTTATTATTTAGCCTCGCTTCAACAGTTGGTGTTTGGCAATCAACGATTCTAGAGACACGAAGTAATTAAAATGAGTGCTGAATTTAAAAAACAACCCAAAGGTTTTGCTACCAAGGCTATTCATGTGGGCCAAAAACCTGAACAATGGAAAAGCATGTGTGTAATTCCGCCTATTTGTATGAGCACAACATATAAACAAGATGGTCCAGCAGAACATAGAGTAAGAAATTTCTATATAATTAAGAATCTAATAGAAACACACATGTGTGTCAATTGTATATACATACATACATATCGCACACCTAGTACAAAAGTGACACAACTCAAAATTTTATTTTTGCGTTTTTATATTCTTTAGGCCTTAAGTTTAAGCCTTAAACTATACACAAGATACTAGTTTAACTCTACAAAAATAATAGTGTATTTTGTTGTTGTTAACTGTTCAAGAAAAAAACGTTATTTTTTTCTTTATCTTTCAGAATTTGTAAAAAATTTGTTTCCTTTTCTTAAAAAAAAATTTTTGAGTTGTGTCACTTTTGTACTGGGTGTGCGATATGTATGTATGTATACATGAACAACGTAGGCACTTTGCAAATCTTATCATTAAATTTCAAAGAAATCTAATGACAATATTTTTTACGTGTTGGTACTCTAAATGGTACTAATAATTAAAACTGATGCTACATATGTACAGTATAATATAAAAGTATATCTCTTGGGCAAGTTCATCTGTTGCAAGATTCATTAAATAGGGTTGTCTCGTTCTTACAACAACATGCACTTGTTTTTGTAAACAAATTTTATTTATTTACTCATTTTCGGATTCCCAGCCTAAATATTTCTATAAGTATTTATCTATTAAAATACGAATAATAATCATACTATTAGTTAGCCAAATTATAAACAAAACGGGCACTTTGGGAAAATTTTGTGATCTCGCAAAATTTGCGTATACCCATATCCTTTTGGTTGATGTTAAATTTTGTTTCTTTTCATACTATACCTAAATTCGAATACTTATGTCAGACACTGTATTTACATATACATACATACAGTGAACCAATTAAGTAATTTGCCTGTGTAAAATTTTATAAATTTTAAGAAAAAACTTTATCTGAACAATTATTTTTAGCAAAATAAAGCAATTTGTTTGTCGTACTTTTTAAAGAATATCTTATATTTTAATTTTCTACCATAAAAAGTAAAATCGTGATATTAATTAACAAGATTTTTGATAAAATGTGAACGTATTGTTAATTTTTAAGGTCAAAGTATTTTGCTTTTTTAGGTTTTTTGTTAATTTTTTAATATTGCTGCATTATTTTATAAAATTTAATATTTTTATTACTCCTATGTATTAGAATAAAATTTTTTAGATATTTTAGTAGTGGAACGACCAAGTTTGGACATTTCTTAACCGATTTATTATCCTATATACCTATAAGAGTTTTTCAATATTTGACTTAATATGAAATCTATCTTTACTTTGATTTAATTTCGAAAATAATAAGTAATTTTGAATTGGATACATGATATATTAGGAAATCAATGGATTTGGGCCTAGAAAAAAATGTTAGTGGGGTATAAATCTATAGATTATAACAAAAATAATCTGGGTTTTTGGTCATTTTGTATTGATAAACAAAAACTACATTACGGAAACCCCATCTATTTGGGGAGTACTGTGTGAATTTCATTTAGAATTGTATAATATTGATTCTTATTCAATAAAGCTATCACTAAGTACCATCCTAGCCACTCTAAGTATGGGGATATCACCGTATACCACTATAGAACTATTACATGCTAGAATCTTGATATTCTACATCATATTTTGAATGCATTATTTTATGAATAAAATACAGTAGGCGTAGTTGGATTTGGATAGTTATTCTTGATTTGGGTTCTAACTATATATAAGTGTATGTATTAGCTGAAAAATATTGCTTTTGTGGATCTTAGGTGATGAGAACCGCCTCTATTTGTAAATATCTAAATTAAGTATTTTTCTCGTACCACACGATAGTTCACTTTATATTGTGTCCAAGCAATCTAAGGTCTGTTTAGAGGTCTAAATTCAAACATAGTGTTCTTTTAAGTTCGTATATGGACTTTGGAGAAGAAAAATGAGGACTTCAATGGTTTTTGCTTTCGCTCTCCTTTGGCAGTGAAAGATTTTGAAAGACAACTCAGTGCGTTTTTTTAATAATTCTTTGTGTTATTTCATCAATTTCTATATTTTATATTTTTTAATGATTGATTAAACATCTCATAATTGAATTTCATTGATTTACACTTTTTCTAAAAATCTAAACTAATTTTTTATATTGGAATTGCCTCATTATTTCCCTTTAAACATTTTTGACGCAAATAGGTTAGGTTAGGTTGATAGGAGGATGTATACTACATCAAATCCGAAGAAAAACACCTAGGCCACTATCGGGCCTGTTGTGCGCTCCAATTCAAGAAAAAAAAAATGGTTCACTGAATGTATTATTTTTCCATGTTCAGAAACTCAGTTTCCTGGACGTAATTCCTAAGAATCTTCCAATCGGTGTTGGTTAAGAATGTTATTTCCGGAATAACACTTCCAAGATACTTGGATCTAACTTCGACGAATGCCTGACAATGGCAAAGAAAGTGCTCCAGAGTTTCACTGTCCTCTCCACATGCTCTACATTCGTCTGAATCCGCACGTCCAATTTTGTATGGATGTGCTCGTAATCCTGTGTGTCCACCCAACGAAATTAACTGGAATTTTCAGTATGCAAAATACTTTATTGACGTGCAAATTCTGATGAAAAATAATAAAATGCAACAACAAATGCACCAAAATTTTTATTTTAATATTTTTTTCTTGGTTTTCCCATTCTACATAATCTCTATTTTTAATTGGAAAACATAAATTTACTTTTTACCTTTTTTTTGAATTTTATTTATGAACAAAAAACAAAATTCTCTTAAAAAAAAGGTAGGCAAAAAACTTAGTTGATTCACTGTAGCTATAATTAATTTAAAACGCAGCAATGAAACAACCCAGCAGTTCGGTCGGACAGTCCAGAACTACGTATTAAACCTACCACTTAGGGTTATCCCTTGCCACCGACAGCCCAGGTGACCAGCTTGTTTAACATGTGATTGTCCTACGAGGAAGTCAATCGTCACCCCATAGATTACGAAGATACATAAAAAGCTTTTTAAGTGTCCTCTCTCTTTTCAAAGGGGAAATGCATTGACTCTTTGTCGAACTGCTGGGAAGGACAACAAATGTTGTAAATAGTATAAATAGTATAAATAGGATCAATTCTGATTGAATATTATTTTGTGTTATTTATTATAGCACACTTTGTAAATATTTTAGGCTTAGGTATTATTGCTAAGTAATATAAAAGTTTGGCCTTGAAGGCTTTGTATTACTGAATAAATAAATAAATGTATTTAGTTGTGTGCTGTTAAAATCATAATTTCTCTTTTTAAAAAATTTACATTTCTAAAATTTTTCATCAAACATAAATTTTGACAGTTTGATTTAAAACTGATGATAATCAGAGGTGCAGGCGAGGAAATCTTATTTAATGAAAATTAATCTGATGTACACTTTATTTATTACTTTGTTTGTTAAGAAATGTTTGTTTTTTGAAATTCTTTTGAAATTCTAAATTCTTATCGTAATAAAAGCCATTAAAAATTTCCGATTGTATGCTTTACGATAAAGGAACCCTCGAAAATTTACATTTATATACTTTAGCTGTTCCTTTCTAATAGAATTATGTTATTGAAATTCACTGATTAGTTTTAAATTCTTATCATTATACATATTTTAGAACTTAATAGGGCATTAAAAATTTTGACTAAATGCTTGACGACAAGGAAACCCTTGCAAAGAAGTATGTACAGTGTCTAATATAAATACATACATAAGTATTTATTTTAATTCATATACGATGTTTAGTTCACTTTTGTTTGTATTTGCCATACATGGGAGTAGTTAATTATATCGACTAATTAATTGACGATTTCATTAGCATTAAATTGAAAAAAATTATAATTATTTTTTTTTCATTAGCATTATTTTGTCTAATGGTAATGGTTTTTAATGAAACAATTTCATTAGTAATTATTTAAAAATAAATTTTCATTACCATTATTCAATGGATTTTAAAAATGTTCGAACATTAGTTCGAATTTCGAAATTAATTTCGAATATCCGAACATTATAATGTATTGTCATTAGGTGAAATCATTTATGCCAAATAATATGATTTAATAATAAAATTTTAATGCTTAATGAAAAATTCCCATGTATGGTATTTGCTGACTTTACTTACACACTATTCCTCAAAGTAAAACGACATATTTTATTAATTATTATTAAAATCACTTGTTAAAAAAATTGTTTTTATTATAAGGGCATATGTACATATTTCTATATAGTGTTGTTCAGTATGGTTAGAAATAAATTAGTTTAGTGCCTATTATGAATAATTTGTTAAATTATTATTGAGCGCTTATGATCAGTATGGATAAATCGAAATACATTCGCTATGCTACAATAATCCGATAGAACCCCAAAACTGGAAATATTTTTGGCCTAAGGCCTCTCGAATCTTTACTCTATGAGTAATCCACTGGTATAAGTCATACACCTTTTACCACGCAAATGTCATTGATAGCAAATAGTTTAAGTTGTGTAAGGTAAAACTGCCTCCTGAGTATTCATTAAGAGGTAGACTAAATATTGAAATTAACTAATCTAATTATTAATTGGTGTTTCATCTTCAATTGAAAACCCCGTTAATTTTTAGTACTTATTTATTTATTTTTTTTATTTTTTTTAGGGGTTTGAATATTCCCGAAGTGGAAATCCTACGCGTAATGTACTAGAACAATGTTTAGCCTCATTAGACAATGCTAAATTCGGACTAACTTTTTCTTCTGGATTGGGAGCTTCTACTGCTGTTCTTTCAATGCTTTCTTCTGGAGATCATATAGTTGTTGGAGATGATGTATATGGAGGTACAAACCGCTTGATCAGGTGATTATAAATTATATTTTTGGATTGCTTCAAATTATAAACATTTTATAAATTTTTAGACAAGTTGCCTCTAGATTCGGTATTGAAGCAACGTTTGCCGATTCAACTAATTTGGAGGAATTTAAAAATGCAATTAGACCTAATACCAAAGTAAGTTAAAATATTTCATATACCCAATAAAACGAAAGAAGATATGATATACTCAAATTTTAATACGAGAAAGCATTAAATTACAAAACATGTACAAAAATACGTACATTAGGATGTCCCGTGGACAATTTTTTTGGAGGAATACCTCTCAAACGATGGGAATTAATGCACTAAATACGAGAAAAATAAAAAAAGAATTTTTTTGAAAAGGCCCTCAGTTCCCTACTAGCGATTGAAAATCTTGATCTCAGTACAATATGCTCAAAAAATATTTTCTGCAATCTTTTCAAAATGGGTCTCAAAAATTCCATAATTTTGAGCTTATCGCGGAAAAAATAATTAAAATTTTTGTTACACTATTCCTGGTCCGCAAAACGACTTTTAGTATATTTGAGGGGTATATAAATTTCAAAACAATCTAAAAAATTCTAAAATGGACCAAACCAAATGCCATTTCAAAATAATCGAAAATACTTTATTTTTCACAAATTATACTGAGATCATAATTTTCAATCGCTTATTTTTTATTTATCTGGTGTTCAGTACGTTAATACGCATCGATTGAGAGGTATTCTTAAAAAGGCTGCTTCTCGGGACAAACTAATGTACATACATACTATGTATGTATGTACGTATCGCAAAACAAAAATCGAGTTTTAGATTGATTATGATTCAGTAGGTAATATTAACAGTGTTCCTTTACTTGTCATGTATGCAGGTTTTTACCACAAATTGTAAAAGATAACTAAATTGAGTAATTTGAACTATTTTCTCTTGCCAGAACCTGCAGTTTTCAGCCAGAAAATTTTTTCTTGGCAAATAGAAAAAAAAGTTGTCAAATAAATAATTTGTTAGTGTATGATTATGTGTGAGTTTGGTTTTTCAATTTTATTTTAATTTCAATAGAAATTTGTTTGAATAAGCTTCAAGTACATGGTAATTGAAATCGTTTTTCAGTTTTTTCTGTGCAAGTGCTAAGAGAAAATTTAATTATTTTTCTTTAGTCAGCACACCTATTAATTGTTCTATTTCGAAGTTTATATAAATTAATTTTCTGTACCAATTTAAGTATGTATGTATATATGTAGGTATAAATTTCATAAGAAGCAATAGATTATGTACATATGTATATATAATAATGCTCCCAAGTTTAAAATGTATACACTCGTGTGTTGGTTTGTGAATTTGAAAAGCAAAATTAACAGATAAAAAATTTCATAGATAATCGTAAACAAAAACACGACAATTAATATTTATTGAACTTTTTTTCATGCAATAAAAGCATGTATATCAAACTAAAAACAAATCCCAAATCTATTTTTTTTTTAGCACATTGCGAATAATACATATTTAATTATGGACTAACACCAATCTTTATTCAAATTTACCTGAAATGGTATTTTTTGAAAATTCGCAAAATTTACAACTTTTCCCACTGATTCTACCTGATTGTAGTTGTATTATGTTTTGTTATAGATTTATTGTTTTTTTTTTTTTTTTCTCAACCTGTATCTGCAAAACCTGTGTGCAAAACTAAATTAGTGCATAATTTCATTCGTTTTATAGAATTATATTTTTATGTAAATATTTATTGAATGAATATAAGTTAATATTTAATCTTCTTATATTAGTTAGTTTGGGTTGAAACACCGACAAATCCATTGACCAAAGTTTCCGATATAGAAGCTCTGAGCAAAATAATACATGAATCCGGAGATATAATATTTGCCGTTGATAACACATTTTTAACATCATATTTTCAACGACCACTGGAATTGGGTGCAGATATGGTATGCTATTCTTTAACAAAATATATGAATGGTCACACAGATGTCGTTATGGGTGCTGTTACTATGAATTCTGAGGAATTATATCAACGTCTGAAGTTCCTTCAAAATGGTAATATTTCAGAAATTATTTTTATGCCAACTATCAAAAAAAAAAGTCGTACGATTTGACCCTATCCCTCTGAATGCCACATTTTATAATTTCATTTATTAATTTATTGTTTAAAGACAACATTTTGAAAGATTGAAAAGGTTGAGGTTTTCCGGTGATGGAGAAGGGCCAATTACGAACATTTAGATCTACCTGTGAGTTCAAACTTTATAGGGAAAAATATATGTAGCACATTAATACAAAAAGTTTAAAATTTGAGACTTCTCCAGAAAACACTGTATTTCGACTCTGAAGTTGCTAATAACTTCTAAAGGGATCGTAATGTTTTTAGAAATATATGAAACTAAAATTGGTTGAAAATGTAAAGTTTATTTTAAATTCCCTAGACCATTAACGTAACATAAATCTGAAATGTGACAAAGAAATTAACCTTTTAAGCTGCCTACACGCTATGAGAGAAGTCGTTAGATTTTTATTTCATACTGCCAAAACAAAATAAAATTAAAATTGGTATGATTATCAAAAAAAAAAATCAAATAGAAAATATATTTTGTTTTTACACTATCTGATTTGAAATAAAATGAAACTTCAATTTGAAAAAAATTCAAAGAAAAAAACGAAAATTATCATTTTGTTTCTGTTTTTATTTGAAATTTGAAATTTGTTTCTTGTTTTATGTTTTTCTTTGTTTAAATAAAAATATAACTGAAATAAAACGAAAAAATCCAATCGTTTTGAAATTTTTCAAAAAATTTATAAAAATGATACGATTTTCAATTTTCCATCCGTATTTTCAGTAAGTTTTATTACATTTTGTAGGTTAGGTTAGGTTAAGAAGGGTTATACACCGCAAAAACGGTGTATATCCACTCGGAGACCATAAGGTCTGTTTTGTATCTTCAAGAAGTGAAGATACAAAACAGAGAAGCAAAAACACCACCACAACACAAGAATGAAAGAAAATAGAAAAGAAAATAGGTAAAAAGTGAAGATTCAAAAACAGAGAAGCCAAATCTAAATCTACCACAACACAAGAGTGAAAGAAAATGGTAGAGAGGTCATATTAATAGATTGTTAAATCCAGATAAATCCATGTACCCTTATAAAGCCCAGTCAAAGAAGTGACTAATTCCCTTAACAAAACCTAGTAGACTGCGAGGGTTAAGTCCCGCAATTTCCCCCAATTCGCCATGGAACCTATTCCCTAGCCATTTCAACCTGAGGTTCTGTATCCTAGGACACTGGCAAATAATATGCTCGATCGTCTCTACTTCCTCATCTTCGTATAACCTGCAATAGTCCGGTACACTACTGTCCCACTGACTGACAAAGGTTCTAACTGAGCAGTGTCCAATTAGAATCCCTATCAGAACCCTTAGACTGCGTCTGTCCAGTCCTATAAGTATTTTAGTAGCACCCATATCAAGTTTTGGCCACAGGGCCTTTGATATTTTGCTATCCAATCTACTATTCCAGGACTGGTTAATGATATCACGTATTCTTTCGAATATTAACCTATTATAGTGACAAATGGGTGGTTTTACCATCCTTTCCCTGTCATCTACATCAAGGTTCGAACCTAATCTAGCTAGTTCGTCCGCAACCTCATTACCATGCACATTACAGTGCCCTGGCATCCAACACAATCTAATGACAAACAGTCTCATAATGTCCCTAAGGGCATTTCTACAATCTACAACTTGGTGCGAGTGTACCGTGTAACAATCCAATGCTCTAAGAGCAGCTTGACTATCAACATAAATTGTCACAACCGACCCCGGATCGATATGATTCCGAATCAGTTCCGTCGCTTTCCAGATCTCTAGGATCTCTGCTTGGAAGACACTACATTCGTCGGGGAGTCTGAATGACCGTTTTATGTTGATATCAGCGATATAGACACCGGCACCCGTGCCGGTATCCATCTTGGACCCGTCAGTGAAAACTGCACACCCACCAAACAGTCTATCGGATACAAGCCAATCATCCCTAGTTGGAAATTCTATCAAAGGTGTTTCCCCGAAGTCTAGAGTCGCGATATCATAATCCGTAATTCCGTGAAGGGAATTACCCTGATCAAGCAGACCTACTTCGTACAAAATTTTTGTATGATTGTCGCGCGAAGGTTTCACTAACGAAGACTCGTAGAGTCTTAGTAGATTCCTAGCCGCCACACCCGCTACAAAATGTTCTACAGGTGACAGGTTCAGAATGATGTCCAAAGCCGCTTGCGGAGTACTTCTAATGGCACCAGTAATGCTAATGGAGGCACACCTTTGAGCTTTATTGAGCAACTTCCTGTAACTGTCCTTTCTCAATGTCTCCCACCAGACAATGCAACCATAAGTTAGAATAGGCCGGACAACCGATGTGTAAATCCAATTTACCATATTTGGTTGCAGACCCCAATTCTTCCCTATGGAATTCTTGCATGTGTAGTAGGCATTGAGACCCTTTTTCATTCTTTCCTGAGTATTTTCCTTCCATGACAGCTTGTTATCAAGGAAGATCCCTAAATACTTAGCTCCTCTAGATAAACCTAATTCGACGCCATCTAACTTTGGCAATCTGAAATTGTCTACCTTATACCTTCTGGTAAATAGTACCAGTTCCGTTTTACAAGGATTAACTCCCAGTCCCTTATCTTTCGCCCATAACGAGAGTTCACCTAATGCAGTCTCCATGATGTGGATCGTGGATAGAAATTTTCCTTTGACCAGTATCACCACGTCGTCCGCATAGGCAACTATCTTCCTACCCTTAGATTCAAATAGCCTTAGGATACCGTTAACCGCTAGTAGCCACAGAAGAGGAGATAAAACACCTCCCTGTGGTGTCCCCCTTCTCATAATGCAATGATCCCCTAGGGTCGAGTTAATAATTCTACTGCTAAGTATACAGATTATCCAACTCACCAGGAAGTCCTGAACTCCGAGCCCTATAAGCGAATCTCTAATAGCCTCAATCCTTTTATTATTGAAGGCTCCCTCAATGTCCAAAAACGCAGCCAGAGTATAATACCTATTCTTCAAGCCGTGCTCAACACAACTTACCACCTCATGCAGTGCACTCTCAACAGATTTACCCTTAAGGTAGGCATGTTGAGCGCCACTAATGAGGCGAGTATCAATATTGTTCCTTAGATGTAGATCTATCAGTCTCTCAAGTGTCTTCAAAAGAAAAGAATACAGGCTGATAGGTCTAAAATCCTTTGGCTTTGAGTGGCTTGCCTTACCGGCCTTGGGTATGAAAATAACCCTAACCTCCCTCCACCTCTTTGGTAAATACCTACTACCAAGGCATCTCTTAAAAATCTTCAGCAGAAGAGATATAGCGTCCTGAGGCAAGTTCTTTAGTAGAGCTGGAAATATACCATCCGGCCCTGGTGACTTGAAGGGGTCGAATGAATTAACTGCCCATACTAGCTTTTCCCTGGTGACTATCTCCTCTATGCAACTGTAGGTGTTACTTGGCGCCACAGACTCGAAGTCCCGTTGGTCGTCAACCACATCTTCAGTTGCAAGACAACCCGGAAAATGTGTTTCCATTAGCAGAGCTAGGGTCTCAGAGCTAGACTCGTATTCGTATATTCTCTCGAATTTAGCGACGCTTTGTCGGTGCCTTCTGAGCAGGAGCCTCTCCCATGACGAGAACTTTGAAGAATCAGCCTTTGCCTTCTTAGACAGAAAGGCGAGAGACCTCAAAGTCCCGTTCCTAGCCTTCTCCTCCTTCGTTCGGCCTGTATAATTAATATCTCGTGGAGGGGCACTTGGCTTCTCCTCCACGGCTACTTGCCGAACGACCTGTGGACGGTCTTCTCCCAAATGTCCCCTTTGGATCCTCTTGGCCTCTTTAGCAGGGGATGTTATCTTAACAGTCTGACTGTCAGCAAGCTCTTCGTCAGACAGAGATAAATTCCCCAGCTTCTGTGTGGCACTAGTTTCACCAAAGGAGTCACTTGACACCTCCAGAAGACCCTCCGTCAGTACCTGTCCTTCATGCTCAACAATTCTGGCATGGAGGTCAGTAAGGGTAACGTCACCGTCCTCCCATGTACTGTCCAACTCCCCATTATCCTCGTTGACCGTGACGTCCGGATTGTCTTTCCCTAACAGGTCGACCACTCCTTCCGTCGTGTCACTCCTTTTTTGTTTTTATGCTTGGTTCCTCTATTTTGAATCCCACGAGTATGCACGTACAGACGGACGATCCACGCAGTGACGGCGTACGTGGACTAGGCAACTACGTTACAACAGCGCTTTACCATGACGCTGAGGGGAGCTGTTAGCAACTAGCCTCTTTATGCACTGGCTAGCCATCCAGGCCCTCGGCACTGCTACCACTCACCTTGACCTTAAAAGTGCCTATATAACGCTATGTCTAACGGTAAAGCCCTTACTGCTCAAAGAGCCAAATCGAATAACATAGCGTATCATCTATGTCATGATAGAAGGAAGTAGGATTGACAGACACATACCACACTTACTATCTTGACAAGATGAGTAACCTTTAGTTATACACTTCTTTGAAACCATAACTTCCTGTGGCTGGATACCGAAGCATTAGTCACAGTAAGCTATAGTCACGATGTGTACTTAAGCCCTCGCATCACGACAAGATAGTTACCCTTGGCGAAGTAATATTATAGTGTAGTTATATTTTGTAACTACAATATAATATTTTTAATTGCATTAGCCAGACGTGAAAATAGTAATATTTCACAATTTTTTAAAACAAATTAACAAATTTTATTATTTTACAATAACAAAATGCCTGTTGTTTTTGAATAGTTGTATTTGTTGTAGGGACGAGCAAACCTTACTAAAATTTTTTATTAATATAATTATTATAAATTTTATAAAATCTAATTAATTATCTATTATTTAACCTAAATAAACAAATTTATTTTTAGCTGAAGGAATTGTTCCATCACCATTCGATTGTTATCAAGTGAATCGTTCCCTTAAGACTCTTGCAATTCGTATGGAACAACATCAATCAAATGCTATTGCAGTTGCCAAATTTTTGGAAAGTCACAATTTCGTGGAGAAGGTTTTACATCCAGGTCTTCCTTCACATCCTCATCATCAAATGGCATTAAAGCAAACATATGGATATAGTGGAGTGTTTTCCTTTTATCTTAAAGGAAACTTAGAAAACTCTAAAGCATTCCTAAAAGCTCTCAAAATTTTCACATTGGCCGAAAGTCTTGGAGGATATGAGAGTTTAGCTGAGTTGCCGTAAGTTTAAAAAATATGAGAAAATTGTTAAATATATTTGACAACGTTATTTTTCTAGGTCTATTATGACGCATGCGTCTGTACCTGCGGAAGATAGAAAAAAGTTGGGTATAACCGATTCTTTAATTCGCTTGTCAGTTGGACTGGAAGATGCTGATGATTTAATTGCAGATATTAAAAATGCTTTAACAGTAGCAGAAAACATTTAATAAAATTATGAAACACGTTAAGAGACAATAAAAACTATTTTTACAGCGATATATCTATCGTTAATAAAAATGCAATATAAATTAAGAAAACATTTCATTTTAAACTGCAAATCATTTTATTATACCCTTCACCTTAGTGAGAAGGGTATGTATAAGTTTGTCATTTCGTTTGTAATTTCCACAATATAATTTCCGACCCTATAAAGTATATGTATTCTGGATCCTTATAGATAGCGGAGTCGATTAAGCCATGTCCGTCAGTCTGTGTGTCTGTTGAAATCAGTTTTCTGAAGACCCCAGATATCTTCGGGACCGAAATCTTCAATAAATCTGTCAAACATGCTTTCGAGAAGTTTCCTATTTAAAATCAGCTAAATCCGTCCATAAATAACGGAGATATATGCAAAAATCCGAGACAACCTCTGAAAATTTCATAAAAAACACAATAACACACACTGCTTATTGGAAAAAGATGTATGTATGTTTGGAATGCAAACTTTGGATGTATGTATGTTGGTTTCATTGCGTTATGTATTTTTTTGTTTTTTTTTTGTGAATTTTGTTTTTTCCCAGGAAAATAAGGATTTTGCTGTGGAATTTTAGATAGCTAAATGAAAATTGGCACATAGCTTCTCTTTAGCATAATTAGTTAGGTATTAAAAGTCACCGAAAATACGCTAAGCGAGATATTGGAGGTCAAAGGTTACAAAAATCAGTTTTTAGCGAATATCTCCTTTATTATGCGTCGTACGCGTTTTGATGTTATTATAATTTCTATTGAGAATTGAATTTCCTACATTTTGGTTGCGAAATATTTTCGCATAATATTAGTTGTTTTCGAGCTATAGTGCATTATTTTTTCATTGCAATGACATTTTCAAATCTTAATATTTCTAACTCCAATAAAGATAATGTCGAATTTTTTCTTTCTAATATTAGCCAAAAGTACGTAATTAATTTCTGTTATATCCCTTATCAAAGCATCACTCTCTGGCCAATAGTGCAATAGTATAATTTCTATAGAGAATTGAATTTCCTACATTTTGGTTGCGAAATATTTTCGCATAATATTAGTTGTTTTCGAGCTATAGTGCATTATTTTTTCATTGCAATGACATTTTCAAATCTTAATATTTCTAACTCCAATAAAGATAATGTCGAATTTTTTCTTTCTAATATTAGCCAAAAGTACGTAATTAATTTCTGTTATATCCCTTATCAAAGCATCACTCTCTGGCCAATAGTGCAATGTCCGCCTATCCGAAATTGTGAATATAATTTGAAAAAATTAGTGAACATAATCTACAAAGTCAGGAATATATTTCCACCAAATTTCATTGAAATCAAACTACGACTTCAACTAGTTCTAATATAGACAACCGACTTTAATTTGTTTCCAATATTAATGAAAACCACAGTGTTTCTTCTGAAAATTCAAAAATTGTTACAAAATATTTAAAGATGAAGTCTGATATTAACAAAATTTGGTGCAAATATTACTCTAAATATGTGTATGGTGGCCACAATTTTTTTCCTAATTCTTATCATAAATAAGACATGTGATACTCACACTATTCTGCATTTCAATTCGAATCGAAATTTTTTCCGTTTGGCAACTTTGGTATTCTGCATTTTGATTCGAAGCTCCGAATCGTAAAGCATTGGAATAAAATGGAAACGTTTCTTCTTTTTCTTACGATTCCGTTTTTTGTTAGAATATTAATTTTTGATCGTAGCGTAACTGAATGCGGAAATGTAATCGAAATGTAGAATAGGGGTGACTATCTGAAATTATGAGATTTTGCGCTATGGGTCATAGAGCGAATTTTAAATAAAACGTGTAACAATGTTATTAGTACAATCTATATTAAGATTTGAAAATATTTGTACAATGGAAAAATAATGCACTATAGCTCGAAAACAACTAATGATACGCAAACATATTTTTTAGCCTAAATGTAGGAAATTCAATTCTCTATAGAAATTGTAATTATAATTTCATTTAGCTATCTGAAATTCCCCAGATTACTCATTTTTTTCCTGGGGTATAAAGAACTTAAAGTTATAGTTTTTTTTTTCATTTATTTAATTAATATTCAATTTTTTCAAAAACAAATTGGTCATTGGACCAAAAATACCAGACCAGCTGGTAAAAGATGTTCCCATAGAACAAATGTTGTTTTACGCAGACTACATACTGCTCTCATGGGAGAATGTGAATTTTGTTTTTTCCCAGGAAAATAAGGATTTTGCTGTGGAATTTTAGATAGCTAAATGAAAATTGGCACATAGCTTCTCTTTAGCATAATTAGTTAGGTATTAAAAGTCACCGAAAATACGCTAAGCGAGATATTGGAGGTCAAAGGTTACAAAAATCAGTTTTTAGCGAATATCTCCTTTATTATGCGTCGTACGCGTTTTGATGTTATTATAATTTCTATAGAGAATTGAATTTCCTACATTTTGGTTGCGAAATATTTTCGCATAATATTAGTTGTTTTCGAGCTATAGTGCATTATTTTTTCATTGCAATGACATTTTCAAATCTTAATATTTCTAACTCCAATAAAGATAATGTCGAATTTTTTCTTTCTAATATTAGCCAAAAGTACGTAATTAATTTCTGTTATATCCCTTATCAAAGCATCACTCTCTGGCCAATAGTGCAATGTCCGCCTATCCGAAATTGTGAATATAATTTGAAAAAATTAGTGAACATAATCTACAAAGTCAGGAATATATTTCCACCAAATTTCATTGAAATCAAACTACGACTTCAACTAGTTCTAATATAGACAACCGACTTTAATTTGTTTCCAATATTAATGAAAACCACAGTGTTTCTTCTGAAAATTCAAAAATTGTTACAAAATATTTAAAGATGAAGTCTGATATTAACAAAATTTGGTGCAAATATTACTCTAAATATGTGTATGGTGGCCACAATTTTTTTCCTAATTCTTATCATAAATATGACATGTGATACTCACACTATTCTGCATTTCAATTCGAATCGAAATTTTTTCCGTTTGGCAACTTTGGTATTCTGCATTTTGATTCGAAGCTCCGAATCGTAAAGCATTGGAATAAAATGGAAACGTTTCTTCTTTTTCTTACGATTCCGTTTTTTGTTAGAATATTAATTTTTGATCGTAGCGTAACTGAATGCGGAAATGTAATCGAAATGTAGAATAGGGGTGACTATCTGAAATTATGAGATTTTGCGCTATGGGTCATAGAGCGAATTTTAAATAAAACGTGTAACAATGTTATTAGTACAATCTATATTAAGATTTGAAAATATTTGTACAATGGAAAAATAATGCACTATAGCTCGAAAACAACTAATGATACGCAAACATATTTTTTAGCCTAAATGTAGGAAATTTAATTCTCTATAGAAATTGTAATTATAATTTCATTTAGCTATCTGAAATTCCCCAGATTACTCATTTTTTTCCTGGGGTATAAAGAACTTAAAGTTATAGTTTTTTTTCATTTATTTAATTAATATTCAATTTTTTCAAAAACAAATTGGTCATTGGACCAAAAATACCAGACCAGCTGGTAAAAGATGTTCCCATAGAACAAATGTTGTTTTACGCAGACTACATACTGCTCTCATGGGAGAATGGTTTTAAATCAGACCATAAACTGGGCCTCTTATGTGACGGTCACGTTTATTAATTATACCCTTCACCTTCGTGAAGGGTATAAGTTTGTCGTTCCGTTTGTAATTTCCAAAATATAATTTTACGACCCCATAAAGTACATATTCTGAATCCTTATATATAGCGGAGTCGATTAAGCCATGTCCGTCTGTCTGTCTGTCTGTCTGTTGAAATCAGTTTTCTGAAGACCCCAGATATCTTCGTGATCCAAATCTCCAATAATTCTATCAGACATGCTTTCGACAAGTTTCCTATGTAAAATCAGCCAAATCCGTTCATAAACAACGGAGATATAAGCAAAAATCCGAGACAACCTCTGAAAATTTCATAAAAAATAAACAACAACAACACTGCTTATTCGATTATATAAAGTATTTTTCCCATTCCATCTGTACGCAAAAATTCAATTAAATGATCGAAATCTCCAATTTTCGAAAAGTTTACCCTTTGAAAATCATGTGTGAAGAATCCTCCAGAACTCCACAATTATCGCAAACAGCAGAGTTAGAAACTCCCATTTTATTCAAAATTAGTCCACAATAAGTGTGACCAGACAAAATCCTGTTGGCCGTTCTCAAGTCGGCGGCCTTTCTGTTCGTTGGGTCAATGTCATTGTCCACGGTCCAATAGTCTTTTAATGTCCCAGAAAAAAGTTTTCTAAATTCAACGTCCTTGGAGTGTTTAATACGATCATATTCATTCTCCATTCGCTCTTAAGCATAGATTCAATAACTGATAGAGCATCTTTCAGGAACCAAGGGATTTGTATCAAGGAGCCGATTCTCCTTGCATTATCTGCCCTTTCATTCCCATTAATTCCCTTATGACTGGGAATGTAAATTATCGATAAATTTTCTAAAGCGGTCTTGTTCATTTTGCCTAGAATTCTTCCGATCATGTAATTATCCGAGTTTTGATTCTTAAGAGCAAACATGCTGGCCCTGAATCAGTAAAAATGGCCAATTTCCAGAAACCATTTTGAATAGCGAAATCAGTCGCTAATGCTATAGCAATCAGTTCGGCCGAAGTTGATGAGAGAATTTTATGTCTAGAACCAGAGCTTGTCGAATTAAATCCCATATGAAACAAGTAAGAGTGCTATATTCGGCTGTGCCGAATCTTATATACCCTTCACCATAGTGTATTTAAAAAATATAAATTTTATAAAATTTAAATTTATGTACCTATTTAATTTTCTCGATTATATCATTATTATAGCAATAGCAAAACAAAATGAACAACAACAACGCTAAACGAAATAAACACTCAAAAAACAAAATACACAAGGCAGTAAAACCAACAAACGAAACTGTACACCAACAAACAAAAACAATATACACAAGGCAATGAAACACACAGCCATCCAAACATACAAAACTGAATACACCAAGAAACAAAAACAATATACACATGCCAATG